CTCCCACACCCCTCCCCTCGCCCACAGATGTCCCGGAGGCGCCGCAGCTCACAGGACTCCAGGACAAATACACGGTGGGCGACACTTTGCACGTCAACTGCACCGCCAGGGACTCCCACCCGGCCGCCCGGATCACCTTCCGCGTCAACGGCAGTTTTATTCATGTGAGTTGCGTGTGTGTGTGTGTGTGTGTGTGTGTGTGTGTGTGTGTGTGCGTGTGTGTGTGTGTGTGTGTGTGTGTGTGTCTGTCTCCTGTTAACCCTTAGGCGCATTTGGAGCCACGAGGAGACAGATATTTCTTAAAGTTAAGAATGTATGTATACCTGTATAAACTGTTTACTATTATAAGTATTTCTAAGTAAATATTCACAGCATAAGTCATATACGTGGCTTAAATAGAAAATGTATACTGTGCCTAACACAAGTGAGTGTACAAGTGCGTGTGAGTGTGTTTGCGAGTCGCAACTAACCCTCCGCCCCGCCCCCACCCGCAGCCCAGCTCGGGCCGCGTGACGGAGTTCCCGACCGAGGGCGGCGTGGCGAGCGGCAACCCCTACGCCCTCAGCACCACGAGCAGCCAGCTGAGCTTGCCGCTGGGCGAGCACCACGTGCCGGCGGTCACGGTGCTGTGCCGGGCGGAGGTGCTGTCCGTCGCCCGCGCCAACTCCACCACGGTGCGCGTCGAGCCTCGCAGCTCCGCCTTCTCCTCTTCAACGCCGGTGAGTCGAGGGGCGGCGTCGCGGGCGGGAGGTTCGCGGGCGGGCGGGCGGGAGGGAGGCGGCTTCGCGGGCGGGCGGGAGGGAGGGAGGCGTCGCGGGCGCGGCGTCGCGGCGGCGGCGGCGTCGCGGGCGGGCGGGAGGGAGGGAGGCGGGTCGCGGGCGGGCGGGGGAGGGAGGCGGAGGGAGGCGGCAGGGAGGAGGCGGCTTCGCGGGAGGGCGGCGTCGCGGGCGGGCGGGCGGGAGGCGAGGGAGGGAGGCGGCGTCGCGGGCGGGCGGGAGGAGGGGAGGCGGTCGCGCGGGCGGGCGGGAGGGAGGGAGGCGGCGTCGCGGGCGGGCGGGAGGGAGGGAGGCGGCGTCGGGCGGGCGGAGGGAGGGAGGCGGCGTCGCGGGAGGGAGGGAGGCGGCGTCGCGGGGCGGGCGGGAGGGAGGGAGGCGGCGTCGCGGGCGGGCGGGAGGGAGGGAGGCGGCGTCGCGGGCGGGCGGGAGGGAGGGAGGCGGCGTCGCGGGCGGGCGGGAGGGAGGGAGGCGGCGTCGGCGGCGGGCGGGAGGGAGGAGGCGGCCGTCCGCGGGCGGCGGGAGGGAGGGAGGCGGCGTCGCGGGCGGCGGGAGGAGGGAGGCGGCGTCGCGGGCGGGCGGGAGGGAGGGAGGCGGCGTCCGCGGGCGGGCGGGAGGAGGGAGGCGGCGTCGCGGGCGGGCGGGGAGGGAGGGAGGCGGCGTCGCGGGCGGCGGAGGGAGGGAGGCGGGCGTCGCGGGCGGGGGCGGGAGGGAGGGAGGCGAGGGAGGGAGGCGGGCGTTTCGCGGGCGGGCGGGAGGGAGGGAGGCGGCGTCGAGGGAGGGGAGGCGGCGTCGCGGGGGGGGGGAGGGAGGGAGGCGGCGTCGCGCGGGCGGGAGGGATTTCAGGCGGGGATAGAGGTCTATTTTGAGGAGGCGGAAATCAGATTTACTGTAGAACGTATATTGAACAATAATGTATTACAATAATGTATTACAATAATGAACAATACATTGATGTAGAATAATACAGTCCGCATAAATGCAACAAGGGAACTGTTTAGGACAAATACCTAACGACAAGGTATATCAAAAGAAACAAATACACAGCTTGCATAGATATAACGAGGTATATTCACAATGCATACACGCACATATAAATAAAATCAAGTGCGCTTGTTGAACAAACTGTAAAGAAAACAAGAAAGGAGAGAACAAGAAGACAAACGAGGTTACCGGAGCCTTTTCGTAGAGACAAAGGGTGAAAAGGCTTTCTATTCGGCATATTCGTGTTTTCTTGGACTTCCCTTGGTTTTGTTTACATAAATTCATGTACAGAGTTATAAAGTTACTTTTTGTGTCTATAGCTGTGCATAGTGTTGACAATATTAAGTAGTAAAGGTGAATATTATTGTATCAAAAAAAAAAAAAAAAAAAAAAAAAAAACTAAATTGTATTGATTAGCACAGTCGATGTTCTTTTGTTACTACACGAGTAGTATTATCGTTAATATTCATATTTGATAATTATCATTTTCTCTGCCCTCGTTTTGTCTAAGCACTTATTTCTCTACAGGAGTTCCCCGCTGCTGCCCGGGACTGTTGCTGGTTCTTGCCCTTTCCGCTCTTACCAACTCGCTGAGTACCTGTTAGACACCTGCCGGCGAGAGGGCGGGGGGGCGGTTCGGCGCCGTACAGAGTTCGTCAACGCTCTAGTCTGTCCCTCTCTCTCTTGGTCTTTATATCTACAGTCGCTCTATCTCTTCCTCCCTTCCTCTCGCTCTTTCTCTCTCTCTCGCTCTTTATCACCCTCCCTCCCTCCTCTTCTTTCTCTCTCTCTGTCTCTGTCTCTCTTTCTCTTTCTCTTTCTCTCTCTCTCTCTCTCTCTCTCTCTCTCTCTCTCTCTCTCTCTCTCTCTCTCTCTCTCTCTCTCTCTCTCTCTCCTGTAACCTTTTCGGTCCATCTGATCTTAACAGCGAATGGAAAAAAAAACCCTTTGGAATTTTCAAGGCCTCCGCACTACGTCCACTTCCAACGTGTCCGAAGCAGCGTTGGAGAAAGGACGTACCTCTCTAAGGAGACCACGCCCACCGACGTCGCAAGCCGGCTTACCTTACTATGATCTTTCGCAAATTAGGTCAATCACAGCAGGAACCGTCGCCACGTAGGCTTGCTTATACCAGTTTCTTCTCGACGCCGGACAGAGTTTGGTTCCTTCCCACAATTCTCCGACGCAGCTCCCAGGCCGCGAGCGACAGTGTCTTGTGAGAATAAAGGTAACTAAGAATGAACTTAGTTTTGGAAAATGTGTAGAAAGAAACGCATACCAACTGCAAAGAAAAAAGAAAAGAAAAAAAGAAAAAGAAAAATAAGAAAATATATCATTCCAAAATATTCTGTGTTCATACTGATCAAAGCCACCGATGGAACAGTCAGGGTGAGCTATGGTTCTGTACAAACGCCAGCGCATACACGTGGCACTGGTTCAATGAAGGTATCCCCTGTGGACATCTAATGGTTGTTATGACACGTGGCTTACCAGTCCGTACCAATCAATGTGGCAGACATAAAAAAGTGTTAATGTTATAGCTTACCAGTCATTTATTTCAGTTAGGATGTAGTGAGGTTGGCTGCTGCATTTCTGACTTGCTTACGAGAAAGATACGAAATTTACGCTGTGCTTTATAACCAGGAAGAACTCGGAAGACTGAACCGCGCGCTGTGACGATTTCCGAAAGGCGAGGGAGAGGAACGGAGTCGCTCCCTGAGGCTCCCCGCCACTCCGGAGCGCACGGCGAGGCGGCGCGAGGTGGTCGGTTCCCCGCCGTTTCCTGTTCCGAAACGTGTTCCGAAACAATGCTTCTTCCTCGCCTGCAATGCACTCCTTCCATAGGACCTTCTCGATGCACATTCCTTCACATGATTCAGTGTTTCGTATATACATATTTTCTTTATTTTTTTGTTTTTTTATTATATAATGATTTGTTGCTTTATACATACATTTATATACATATATCTAATGTATTTGTAAGTTGCTATATATTTCACTCAGGAGTGATGAATAAAGACAGAGTATATATCCATGTTGGCAGTTATTCGCACCGGCATTTCAATGGTCAGAATGAATCTCTTGCTTCGCGCGCCTCGAAACGTTCCGAACACTGAGACATGTCTGGTTTCCTTTTATAAAGCGCAGGGGAAAGGCGGCGACATCTTCACGTGCGAGGACATGTATCTGCAGTATCAAAAGGAACTGATATTCTGACGAAATATCTCAAATTGTCAACTATTGTCAAATAAAATGCACAAAATGAGTGTTGATGTCAATAACCTACAAAATCGAACTTGGTCGATACACGGAATCGATAGCTAAATAACACTTTCTATCTATCTCTCTCATACACCTACAGTCATAGAAACACAGAAACACAAACCATAAGAAAGAGAGAGAAAGGGAAGTGGGAGACTAATACAAAATAAAAACAACAAATATCCGGCACTCCTTTATTCCAGAGCTCAGGATTCAATACCGATTGCAACACCAGATTTTCCTTTTTTTTGTACGGTATATATACGGTATGAAGAGGATTCGACTCCTTGTGAATCTTCATGGACCTCGTGCTGCTACATTGCATGGTAAGTGTCAAATTAGACACACACAAAGACACGAAAAAAGGAAATGGTGAGAAGCAGGAGGATGGAAGACACCCAGAGGAGAGAGAGAGAGAGAGAGAGAGAGAGAGAGAGAGAGAGAGAGAGAGGAGGAGGGAGGGAGGGAGGGGAGACAGAGACAAAGACAGAATCTGAATTTTGGAAATGCAAAGCCAAGGACCATATAGTAATACCCTGTGATGATTCAAATCCATAGACACCTCTGTCTTCATTGTTCTATATTAGATACAACGAACACATAATCAAGCGAAAGGACATAGAAAGAATGATCTCATATCGCAATTGTTTTTAGTATTTAGAATTATTTCTTTTTGAATAGAGCAACAATGAATTCTCTTCGCGGTGTAGATGCCAAGAGCAGTCGATGATGATTGAATAATTGTACGACAGTTAGTAGTATAAACGCACAGTCTGGATTTCCTGTTGTTTATGTACTAGTTGATTTTCTAAATTCCGTTAAGGCGCTGTCATACTAGCACTTTTTCCGTCAATTTTTTGACAATTTTATTTAACATAAATACAAACATTCTTGAATATAGCTCTCGATCTGACTTTGCTTAGTTGAAAAAGTTGACGGAAAGGTTTTCAGACGGAAACGATCATTATCGTCTGACTGGAG